TGTGGGTCGTGGCATGCATTGACAATTCCAGCACTTTTCCTCAGGTGGAGTGGGAGGCATCATCATAGGCATCGTGCTTGAGGTGCATCGAACGAGGCTGCACGAAACGCCGATGCACCTCTTCTTCTTTTCCTCAACAACATCCCGCTTGTATGGTCCTGGAACGATTTGGCATTCGTGGCGGTCTACGTAGGAAGGTGAATTAGAGTCGAAGAATAGTGCTAAAGGGAGAAAGACTCGGACGTACATGGATTGAGGACGACACATTCGACGGTATGGCCAGGGACGGGGGCGCAGTAGATCGGTCCCTTGTACGTGATTCCACCGCCTAGTACCAAAACAAGTCAGTACCTGTTGGTAGCGATCAGGGCGGGATGGTATGCGTACATTGACCTCCAAGAGGGACGAGAGGAGTCTGTCTCTCAGTTGGTGTAGCAAAAGCCTGGAGAGCAAGGGTCGACAGAATAGTGGCGAGTGAGAGAATTCGGGCGTTCATGGCTGGTACAACTCAGGTCTTGGAAAACGAGTATCACTCTGGGTTGAGAATGATTTTATACGATTCCCGAGTTACCCTGGAGCCACGATATTGCGAACACAGGCCAGAGCGAGACCGCGGAGGGATGTGGCTACATGAAGTAAACTTGGGAGAATGGGGCTCGCACGACTGTCAAGACGAGATCGGTACCACGACTATCAGAACGTGGAAGGGCCTCGAGGGCCTTGATATGAGAAAGATGAACGAAGCTAATAGTGACCGCGATAGGAGTAGGGAATGCGGGGAATATGAAGATACATTGACACGGTTTGGTTCGCTTGGGTTCAATTTAAGGGGAAGTGAATGAAAACCCAATTTAATATTAGAAAGAGCTCGGTGAAGTGCGTACCTGAAAAGGCACAGGCAACAAAAAGAGTCTCACGCACACACCGGTTCGAGGGCTGCTGACGATTGACAATAGTCTTCCATTTTGAATATGAGGTGAACTCTCATGTCAAGCTATTCCAAAGCTTAAGCTTAGCGAAACTCCATCATTCGTGCCCGGTGCTTGTTAAACACGAAGTAAGGAACTGTTGAAACGCGAGGCTTTTTGAAGGCTTGCGGAGTTTCCAGTTTTCATTTATTTATTTACGTTGGTGTTACATATCCTTTGACGCACAGCAGCTGCCGGGTGCTCGATCGTCAGGCGGGCGCTAAACGGAGCTTGAGTCGGAACTTCAAATTAATTTTCCACGCACGAGCCAACAAGTGACGACATTGATCGCCGTCTCTCTTTCCGTCCTCGACAACCACGACGACTGGACGAATGCCTGACTATTCTGTTTTATGTTGGAAACAATACACATTCACATTTCTTCTTTATCCTCGCTCGAAATGCCAAGTCTATGTCTGACGTCCAGCGAGTCCATCACCCTCTTCTAAGCAGTATGTAGCTCATTAAGAAGAACGCCGGACGTCTCTGGCGATTATATCGCGCGAATTCAAACCGGATGCGCGCAGGGATCTCTGGGCAGGTGAGCGGTCACTACCCAGCTATGTACCTCCTCCAGACAGAACACATTTGTCTCAAGGCATTTGCATACGATTACAGACTCTAGAGGCACCGAGCGATATCATCGAAGCCGCCCGCTTGTTTCTACAGCACGAATAGGCAGCAGCACACGATTCACGAACCAGGTGATGAGAAAGCAGCCGATAGACACTCGTCTTCTTCTGGCCACCCACCACACACCTCGGTGCTTCTCCCTCAGGAATCCAGGTTCTTTTGATCGAAAGCATGCTTGTCAACATGCACGGGAGACATCGTCGCGTGCCGACCGACGAAGCTCACACTACCCGCCTTCTCCTTATCTATTGAATGTTTACGGCCCGTCACAGAGTCACATCCTAATCGCGAGGAAACGACGCTTCTTTCAGCGCTGCTCAATCTCGAGTTTCTATGTTTAGCTCGGCCACGCCTCTCTTGTCGCCATATCTGGTTGAATGGCGGATAAAGCTGTCATGTCCTTGCACTGGAGCGACGCCTGGCGTGATCATTGGCATGCTTCCCAACATTTCGCTTACTGATGTCTTGTCTTCGGGTGAGGCTTGTTTATCTGCACCAGATTTTGGGAAGCTCAGAGCTGACTATGGTGCTGTAGAAGACCCATGCGTTTCGCTCAACCATCACCAAGCTCACAACATGGTACTTGTCCTTCTCAATTCTTTTGCTATCGAGACACCGCACTGACACTACGATTCTATCTGCTCAGATGATAAGCGTTCCTTGCTGCTCTTGGAAGGGGATTCGCCTTTAAAATGAGTAGTTTCTAGGAGAGGAACGACAGGAAGTCGACCCTCGATCACTTTCCAGCACCCTCTTGGTCTAACCGGCTCGTCAGCTCATTGCAATGGCTCGTCTCCAAGCTCTCCTCACCACCGTGGTCCTCGCCTTGGCCCTCTCGTCTTCAGCGGTCTCTGTTCCCGCTGTTGAAGTCGCCCATGAGCATTCTTCCACCCACTCGGTGCGAACCGTCAACCGCCGTGGTCTCCAGATCGAGTCCTACCAACCTCCCTCTTCCTTCGAGGTAAGCAGCCGCTGCTCGTCGATCTTTCGGTTTTGTTCATTCGTGTCCATGACAGACCTTTGGCGAAGGAATCGTTCAGTCAGAGAGTGCCCGTCTCCTCGCAACCGACCCTGAAGCCCAAGCCCGTCAATTCGTTGCTGAGAAGCTCAAGGTCAACCGCGAGAACGTTCGCTACCGCAGTGGCTTCAAGAACGGCGCTATCAGGCACTCGTATGTTCGCCAGGAGATCGTAAGCACCATGACTTCGTCACTGTGGACCTCACTCAACCCACCATTCTGGTATAGAACGGCATCCCCTTCGCCAACGCTGTTGCCAACGTTGCCTGGAAAGATGACAAGGTCGTCTCTTTCGGTTCTTCCTTCGTCAAGCCTTGTACGTCACATCTCTCTCTTTTGTGCCAATACACAACCATACTAACACTTCCATCAAGCCAAGATCGCTGCTCCCAAGCCTACCGTCGAGCTCGAAAAGTTCCTTCCCCAGGTTGAAGAGATGTTGGAGGGCAAGTACAACGGCCACCCCACCTCGCTCGAATACCTCGCTCGCCCTGATGGATCTGCTGCTCTCACCTACGTCGCTCAGATCCAGAACGAGGAGGAGAACAAGTGGTACGAGGCCTTCATCGATGCTCACACTGGCGAGCTCGTCTCCGTCACCGACTTTACCGCCGAGGCTAGCGTGAGTCTTTAAAACTTTTCCATTCTACTCATTAGCTGATTTCGGGGTGTAGTACCGTGTCCTTCCCATCAACAAGAAGATCATCACTGAAGGTCTTGAACTATTGAGCAACCCTCAGGATACCATCGCCTCCCCTAACGGATGGCACGCGAGCGGCACAACCCTCAACACCTCGTACGTCTCTCTTTCTCACCTTGACGTTCCTTTACTCATGACCCTGACAGCGGTAACAACGTCGTCGCCTACGAGTCATCCACCAGCACCGGCTTGACTTCCCAGTCCGCAGCCAACGCCTTTGACTATACCTACAACACCTCTGCCGCACCCTCCTCTTCCCTCGCAGCAGCCACCACCAACGCATTCTACGTCATCAACTCGATCCACGACTTTGCCTACCGCTACGGCTTCACCGAGGCTGCGTTCAACTTCCAAAACGACAATTTGGGCAAGGGTGGTAGGGCTAGCGATCGTGTGCAGATTAGCGTTCAGGATTCGTCGGGAACCAATAATGCCAACTTTGCTACTCCCCCTGAGTGAGTGTTCTTCCGTTTCCAATCTACGAAAAAGTAGTTGATGAGCATTGTGCGACAGTGGCCAAGTCGGACAGTGCAGGATGTACATCTGGACGTCGACCACTCCTAACCGTGATGGATCCCTCGAGAACGACATCATCGTCCACGAGATGACGCACGGTATCACCAACCGATTGACGGGTGGTGGAACTGCTCGATGCTTGCAGACTACCGAGGCTGGTGGTATGGGTGAGGGTTGGTCTGATGCCATGTCCGAGTACGTCTGTCTTTCTTCGATCCTCTTTGGCATGGATGTTGTTCGCTAACTTGACTACAGGTGGGCTCAGCAGAAGTCTGCGACGATTAGGGACTATGTCCTTGGTGACTATGTTACCAACAACCCTGCTGGTATCCGAACCAAGCCTTACTCCACCTCCACGTACGTCGTCGTCTTCTTCTTGGATGAAAGAAATAGCTAACCAGACCTTCCTCCAGCACCGTCAACAACTACACCTACGCCAGCGTTCGTGGACTCACTTCCGTCCACAGTAAGTCTTTCTCGGTTCCCTCTTTCGACAGTCGCTGACACTGCTTTCAGGGGTCGGCGAGATCTGGGCCAACATCCTGCACAACGTCTACGCCGCACTCGTTGCGCAATACGGATGGTCGTCCACCGCCAGGACCAACCCCGACGGCGCCGAGGGTAACATTGTCTACCTCCACCTCTTCCTCGACGCCTTGGCTCTCCAGCCTTGCAACCCCACCTGTACGTTCTCCCTCTCCCCTCTTACTTTCTCAGATACATGTACTGACGATGATTGATGACACTTCACAGTCCCCACTGCTCGTGCAGCATGGATCCAAGCGGATGCTAACCGCTACGGAGGTGCCAACAAGTGCTTGCTCTGGAAGGCGTTTGCTAGCCGTGGTCTTGGACCCAATGCTAGCGGATATGTCGATGACAAGACTGTCCCCTCTGGATGCTAAATGCTCCTATTGGAAAAATAATTATTCGATATTTACGGATTCAAAAAGGAATGGATGGATGTATATCAAGTATTTGCATAAAGAACGGCTCAATTTTATGGACGGTTCTGAACTCAGTCGAACTGTAGGAAGTCTCTTAAGCTCAAAGATGATGATCGTCGAAGACCGACTACCTATAAATGGCACTCGTCCGACGTTCAGACAATGGCACCGGTACAGTCGCTTCTTAGCGTATTCACTTTGCAAGTGCAGTTGCCATCTCTCTGTTCGTATATCGGTTAGTACACGCGCCTGTCATATGTATCGGCCGCGCGAAAGCTGGGTTCGATTCCCAGACAGAGAGATAATTCGTCTGTAGATTGCGGACATTTTACTCCAAAAGCAGCTCTCCCACGGCTACAACTAGGATGAGGTAGAGTTTTGCATCAATGGACAACCATAATTAACGCTCTGTGCAGACAACGGGGATTTCATGATCGATAGCATCGACGCATGATTCTCAAAATGTAATACATCAATTGGGATATATCTAATGGGACAGTCGCTGTCCGTTAACAATGTGGACCGGAAGCAACTCGAACTTAAGACTTCTCCTAAACTGGAATGGGAACACATTCGCAGGTCGAGCAATCCCCAGGATGAAGTCCAGGAACGATGGTGGGAATGGTGGTTGCGATACAGAAGACACCCTTGCAAGGGTTCGGAGGACAGTAATCCGCACGCTTGACTAAAACGCCGTCAGCTCGATATCGACTAAGAAGGTTGGCAAAGAGATACTTACCGGGATCGCCGGGGTTGAGGACACACTTGCAAGTCGAGCAAGTTCCTGGGTAGAGTGCAGGAACGACGACAGGTTTGCCAAATCCAACACAAATGATACCTTTGCAGGGGTTGAAAGGGCAGGTCTCAGCAGGAGCAGCCGAGACTTGAAGGGCGACGAGAGCCACAACGGCAACAAGGAGAGTGCGGAAGGCCATTAAGTTTGTGTGGCTTATGCTGGAGAGAAAGAGTAGAGCCCACTCGCCTTATATCCCGTCTCACAGTCCGTCTGAAGAGGAACATTTGGCAAAAATATTTCTCAAATTCGGTCTCCTGGCTTGGCCGACTGCTGCTCCAAGGAGAATGTGAAGAGTGGTGGACGAGATGCGGGAGTGCTATTTGGTCTCCATAATGTTGAAATTGTTTTGGACGGGATGTTTACGGTCTCTGAGCGCTTAGCGGAGAGATCCCAAACAACATCTTTGATCCTTGGGGTAAGGAACTCAACTAACTTAAGCAATCCCATTCGAAGCCGCCTGGCCACGAACGATGGTTGTGAGTAAGAGAGTATCCATCTATTACAGATCCTCAAAAAAAGGAACCCGGTTGTCCTTGCCGGTGATTATTATAGGATACTCTATTGTGACACACCGTGGGTGGTGGGATATGGCGTTCAGTGATCTAAAGCTATTAATGGTTTTGGTACTCATCTGGAAGGAATGAACCGCCCGTAATATCGACAGAAATCAGGGATTCTCAGCCCTGATCGCCAAGGCGAGAGAAAAGGCACAAGGCCTTCTGGTGCCTTTATGTAGATCAGCCGCACTTGGCTTTTGAGCGGCGATGTCTTGCAGAGGTCTGTGATTCTGCATGGGCAGAGAGACCTAGCGACTATTGAATAAACGCTATATTTTGAGGCCATTATCTACGGAGACTCAACGACATGAGGCTGAATAACATTCGAGGGTGATCATGTCCGGTCTCCAAACCTCCCCTCGTCATCGGGCCTGCTCCGATGTGATAATCAATTACCTTCTATTTCATCCTCAGATATGCTAGTCAAGCCAGCCCTGTGACTGGACAGCTCTGAATCCATGTAGGTAACATTCGGACGGAGGTGGATAACCTATAAAGCCTTTCGTCCAGTGCACCCAACTCACCTCTAATTCGTTCGAGAAGCTTAATCAATATCTACACGGCCTTCTTTCACATATGAAACCTGAATTGATTATGGGAGAATACCAATACATCTTTAACATTAATTGATAAACTCGGGAGTGTCGCTCTCTGTAACTGGAAATGGCTCGACCGCATTTACATGACATTGACGGTGAAGGCTCCCTCCTAAACTTTGGGTTCAATGGGTACACATTGGCAGGTCGAGCAATCCCCAGGATGAAGTCCAGGAACCACAGTAGGGTTGGTGGTTGCGATGCAGAAGACACCTTCGCAAGGGTTAAGAGGACAATGGGCTACCCGCAAAGGGTGTCAGTGTCCGCTGAAAAAATCTGCGAGCGATACGCACGGGGTTTGGTGGGAATTGGAACGCATTTGCAGGTCGAGCAACCTCCTGGGTAAGTTGCAGGGACGACGACAGGTGCGTGGCCCCCCCTGCATCGCACAACGGCACAAGGGTCGGGGAGGCAGGTCTCAGCTGGAGCCGCTGAGACTTGAAGGGTGGCAAGAGCCACGAAGGCAACGAGGAGATTGTAGAATGCCATTGGATGGGTGTTGGTTAAGCTGGCGGAAAAGAGAAGAACTCGTCCGCCTTTATACGCAATTCCATACCCCGTTTGAAGTGGAACTCCTGTGAATATTCTGAGAAACGGCCTCGTGTTTCGACCGACTGGACCACTAAGAAGAATGAGAACCCGATGTCTGTGTGAATTTCAGCACGGAAAGGTTCCAGACTTGAAGCGGATAGATCCCAGACACCGTCATTGATCCTGGAGGCCACTAACCTCGTCCATTAATGTAAGCCGAGTCGCTCAAGATGGTTCGTGAAACGGCCGTGGCTTCCGGTCCAGGCTAGCTCTATTTCCTAACTCTAAAGCTAATCGTCTTTGGTACCAATCTCAAAGAAATGAGAAAGTCATCATAGTATGTACGTAGTAGACAGTCCAAAGGAGACTTGAACGCAATCCAGAGAGTACGGATGGAGACTTCTACTTCTTTTTTTAATTTTACAATCGCATCAATGGAATGAATACCACGTTTTAGCTCCTGAAGGCAGTTATCTCAAGTGCCACGAGCGGCAAACCGAATGCATGCTCTGTAAGTCACCAAGATGCGCAAATTTAATCAACCCAGTCACAGGGAATCCCTGACAAAAGTTGGAGAAAGGTCGATCCGAGACGAGAAGTCTGTGAAACCTTCATCCCAATGCTCCCAGTTCACATCTTCATTCAAACTAGTGAGCACCAGTCGTCCTACACCACCCTCCAAGCCGAGAAAACTGCCCGGGACCCCGTTGGCAATCGTCTTCATCATTTCCTCCAGTCCACGGTCCATCTCCCGAGCCGATTTGGAATGGTCCAACTTCAGATATACGTGCCGTAACAGACCAAATGGCTCGAGATCTCCACCTACCGAAATCGTGCTCATCGCGCGAAGGTAGATTATGCTCTCTAGGTATTCCACGATCGGTGCTTCGACGTCGTCTGGCAGTCTGTCGAGGGAATAGAGAGAAAGCCAGAGGTTTAATGCTTGGACCTTGGGGAGGTTCCTCCTCATAGGCGTCAGGAAGGAGATCAGATGGGTGGCCCCGACGTTGACGTGCAGGACCAGACTTTCGAGATGGCATGCTGCGGTAAGGATGGGTGCGATGTGGGTTGTAAAATCGACTTCCTCTTTATGGCTGCTTGCGAGGGTGAGATGGGTGAGATGGGAAAGTGCGGCAACGAAGGGCGAAGAGGGGTTTGGGTCCATGGGCCACCGTGATTCTGGTTTTACGTAAAGATTGAGGTGAGTGAGAGATGGCCAAGTAAGCTTCACTTGCGGTTTGAAGCTGGAAACGACAAAAAGAGTGAGGTGGGATAACAATGGTTGATGTACTTCGACGGGGAGGGGCACATCAGATGCAAGGTTTGGGGTAAAGCAATGAATAGAGAAGGTACCCTTTTCGAGGGCCTTGCACGCTGCCATGATTTGTGTCCATAGTTTGCCTGAGACTCCCCTCCCACCGATGTAGAGGTGGGTGAGCTTCGATGTGGGGAGCTGGAAAAACACCTGAGGAAAAGCGGACAAAACCAGTTTTGAAAGGCTTGGCAGCTGTGGAAGCGATGGTGTTTGACGAAAGTCTTGTGCATCATCAGAGGAAGGCCAGTACATGACTAGCGATTCGACAAGCGGAAATTTGTGAGCGAAGAGAGATTGGTTGGCATCGTCCGAGTCGATACGGAGCTTGCGAAGGAATTCAAAGGCAGGGTGTCTGAAAAGATAGGTGAGGGGCTTTGAGTCAGGCGGTGTTGGGTCATCGACGCTGCCCACGCCCCGGGCGTCAATGCTCAAAGACCATGGTCTGCTTCCGACAAGATCCAGGCGGAAAATATGGGCGTGAGCCGGGATACCTCCGATCATTGGGTCATCGGGTGGTTCATGAGCCTTGGCATCGATCCATGCTGTTGTCCACAGCGACGAAGTCGACCTGGCAGCTTCATACCAGAGCTTAGAGACTTTACAGAGAGGTGCAGCTGTCTGCTCTGGCTTGATCCAGGGTTCTTTGGGGAGTGAGTCAACGCAGAGTTGGAAGATATAGACGAGAAGTTCGACGGGGAGAGAGCGAAGCGGAGAGAGAAGACTTTTGCACACTAGAATGCGAAGCTCCAGCTGCCTACGCTCGACCAATAGAGCGCAGTGTTTGTCAGAATCCTGGGCTGCCAGTACCTCTGCATCCAAGGCACGGCAGCGTGCTTCGAATTCTTTTTGGGTAGAAAGAACTTCGCGACGTTGCAAGGCAGATAGCGGATGCCTTGAAGTCGCAAGGTCGGCCATGCATTTGGGTAAATCAAGCTCCACGTATCTCTCAGCCTTGAAGATTCTTCAATACGATGAAATGATAGGCTTACATCGTATAGCCAAGACAGATTGCCCGCTGCACCACGGTGATCTGTAAACACAGAATCCGTATCCGACGTGGCTATATCATGATCTCGCGAGGCTTGATCTATGGAAGGTGACATGGTGGGTATCAGAGGAGAGCTTGAAAATGACTGGTGGTAGCCAAGGTGTAAGGTTGAATGATAAACGTTTGAACCGTGTTTGCATTTGGAAATCGATATTACCTAAGTGAGGGCAGCCCCTATTTGTGTCGGGCGCTTATTCAAGGTGAACAGTTGGGCTTTTATTGGTCATTTGTCTTGAGACCTGCGCGCTCAAAATGATAAGGTCCGATACCTATTTCAACGTCGAGTACGTGGCGGGTCCGTTAACTCACTGTGAGTGGGAATAGAGCGAGCGGTGGGCGAAGGGGTTACAAAGCCGTGAACATTTCCTGAGCTGCATTCCTGGCACCCCATCATCGAGGGCCATACCTATTGAAAAGAGTTGCAAAGTGATAAAGGTAGTCGGAAAGCTTGCACTTCA